CCCCGGCGGGCGGCGGTGCGGCCGAGGCTGTAGCGGTGGCGGCGTCGGAAGGGCCCTGCTGCTTGACGGAAGCGCACCGCCGCGACGTGGGAAGGCACCCTAAGGTCTTTTTCTAAGTGCCAAGCGAGTGATCGAGGGTTGCTGTGACATTTCGCGCAATTACAGTGTGCCCGAAACAAAATAATAGGGCATGGATCGCTTACATGCACCTGGAGACGGCGCCGATAATAAGTACTTAACAAGAGAAAGAAAATATCTTAAAAGAATATTAAAAAGAGAAAGAAATGGAATGAAAAGAAAAAATTCAAGAGTAATAGTAATGTTTGTAAGTGAATGTTTAATTTGCAAATCGATATCATGTGTTTTTACTTAAATTATATTTGTTCATAATTGTATCATAGAATGAAAAATATAATACCCTAATCCTTCTTCGTTTTGCAGCTCTGAATTCAACCATTTTAAAAAGTATTATTATTTTAATTTTGTTAAAAGCATTTTATTATAAATAATTTACTTTGTTTATAATTTGTATTAACTTTGTATATATATTCAGAGAGAGACGGAGGGAGGGAGAGAGAGAGGGAGGTAGGGAGAGGGAGAGAGAGAAGAGAGAGGGAGGGAGGGAGAGAGAGAAGAGAGAGGGAGGGAGAGAGAAGAGAGAGGGACGGAGGGAGGGAGAGAGAGGGAGGAAGAGAGAGGGGGAGAGAGGGAGAGGGAGAGAGAAGAGAGACAGTAAGGGAGAGAGAAGAGAGACAGTAAGAGAGAGGGAGAGAGAAGGACGGAGAGAGGGAGAGAAGATAGAGGGAGGGAGGGAGAGGGACGGGGGGAGGGATAGAGAGAGAGGGGTGAGAGAGGGAGGGAGAAAGAGGGAGGGAGAGGGAGAGAGAGGGATGGATGGAGGGATAGAGAGAGGGGGAGAGGGAGGGAGAGATGGAGGGAGAGGGAGAGAGAGGCGAGAGAGAGGAGAGAGAGAATTCTCTCCCCTCTATAAAGAAACGTCTCTATATTCGCCCCTGAATATGAATATGGGAAAAATCTCTTCTGTTTGGAGACATTTGCTCGGTATGTGTTATTCTTTGTGGACGCTTTTTTTCTGCGAGATGCGTCCCGAATCTTGTAAAAACGTGAATAAAAATATATAAATAATTTCGATATTGCCGTCATCTCTGTTGATTTCATGATTGGGGTTCTCATAGCATTAAGAATAACCATTTTTAGAATAATTTTATGAAAACTTGTGGAACTCTACTTTATAGTAAATTACCATAATTACTTAACAAGTGATATATAACCATCACATTATTAATATAACTAATAAATTTACATGCATGAGTAAAATTAACAAATAGTAATTAAATAAATTAATTCAATATTTAATAAAATTATCCATTGAATAAATAATGTTACACCAAATTAAATATTGATCTTGTTACTTACTAAACGCTGTATTTCCTTATAATTGTGAAAATAAGTTCTAGGGCCTTGTGTATATGACATTTCGAACGAGTCATAAAAACAAAAGTAAAATTTACTTTAATTTAATTTAATTTACCAGCAGCACAATCGTGTTAAACAATATGAGCATGAGCATTACATTTAGAAATGTTTATTTTTTGGGGAGTGATCTAGTTACAGGCATTTGGCGATGTCTGTATAAAGTTACCTCCGCGTTTGGAGCTGCGCATGCCCATCGAGACCTCACAGATTCATTTAGAAATAATTCCATTATTTGATAAATGAATGTCTAAACTCGATATATTATTGCTCAAAATGAAAAATTAAACGATAACGATGCAGCTGTATTTTTTAATGATCGATCAAGCACTCATTTACCTGCAATTAGAAGGACCTTCTAACCAATTCTAGAAAAAAAAACAAATGAAAACCATGACATTTGAACATTTTCTTCCTAATTCCATAACATTTATATTAAGATGATAATTATTATCAGTTTGAATTGCCTGATTCTTTTTTGGTATTGATCCGTCCTATAAATAACATTTTGAAATAGACTGCAACAGGGCTGCTGCCAAGAGGGAGTAGGTTGGACGACATCCCCTCCACACCACCAGTCTCGTAGCCGCGTCTGGGCGGGCCGTCGTCTAACATTGGGAATCCTCGTTGACATTAATTAAAAGGTTAACTCTGCCGACAAAATAGTTAGTTAAAGAGTGGAGTGAGGCATAGTAAAAGTTATCAGCTACTGAAACTAGTCGCAGTTCGTGTAAGTGTCACTTTACATCTTTGCCGAATTTAACCTAATACAGTGTGCTATTGTACTCGGTGGCTGCTTTGTTTACAATCACTGAATTCGAGCTCTAATATTTCTTTCAGTTACTGGTATGTCACTCACGAGTGGCCTGTTGGCAATGATAAGTCTTGTCAATCCTCTTTTTCCCCTACCGTGACGAATCCATTTATATATTTTTCAGACCAATCATGAATCTGGCAGCGGAAGCGGGCCTCTTAAATGGAGGCTTGCCTGAAGTATGTTATCCACCATCTGTTGTGGGACTCACTGTTGAAACAAATGGAATTGCTAAGTCTCAGTCACCTGTAACAGAATTTATTGCCGACGAGGAAGCAGCGTCTGTTTGTCCCTTATTATCTCCATCTCCTCCAACAGACTTTGAACATCCTTTAGCATTACCTTCAGGTGTGTTTTGCTACTGTCTACAATTAACTTGCCTTTTCTCTATTTTCTTTGTTCACTGTTGACATTGTATTTTTGAAATTTAAAAGAAATGCTCTTATCAGAAATTGACTTTCAAATTTAATTTCATAAATGGTTCGCATCATAATTAAAGTGACACATGTTTTTTTCAGTTATTTATGATTACATATTAATTCAATTGCAGTTTTTGGGATGAGTGCATATTCCTTTCTGTTCATTCAGGGAGCATAAAATATTTACTTGAATAATAAACCAAAATAATTTTGAAATTTCTTAAATTTACAATTGGAAAGTACAAGAAATTATTTAATAGTATTCATGATAAACAAGTTTTTCATGGCATCACATTTTATTTAAAATTACTGAGTAGGTTTGGAGCTCCCATTCATACTATTATTGTTTCTTATTTTGTAATATAGATATTGATTATAAATATCACATAAAACAATTCTCACATTCTATTCATAAATTATCATATGATAGTAATTTTCTAATTATGATGTTCATCCTGCTTTGAGCACATTTGTTTGATAATAATGGAAATTTGAGTGTCATTTATTACATTGTCATTCTTAATTTCATTACCAATATTTAGTTTGTCAAGAAAGCATGTCTAAGTGCAAATATTCAATTAACAAAAAAGTGAAGTTTTTAAAGGTTCAATTTCTTTTTAATGCCATCAAAATATTTTAATTGTGTAAAACACCTTTGTTACATAAATATTTTAACATACCTCAGAAATTAGTAGAAATTTACCAAATAATCATTGCAGTAAAAATAAATTATATATAATATTCTGTTATAATTTTAAATTCTCATTTTTTATTTGGAAATTTTAGTTTCAGATTTTGTTGTCCCACTATCCAAGTTGCACTCTTGTTTCAGTCATGGGTTACGATCATCAAATCAGTCCTTCAAGCACAGATCCTGAATTGTCTGCTTTACCAACTGTTAATGGAAATGCCATTACTAATTTAGATGTTGACAGACATTCAACTGGGGGTAAATTTCTCATATTTAATTCATAAATTGTTCAGTATCTTTGAGTTAAGAATTAATTTGTATATTACCTTTAGGGGCTCCTGAGGGATTCAATCCTACTAGTAGTGTACAGAGTATGATTGAGTCATCATCATCATCTGGTAGTTCAGTTTTACATGAATCTGCAGCATGTGCTCAACTGTTAAGTAACCATCATTATCAACATCTTACTAAGGCTAGTGATGGAGATCCTTTTACCCTACAGGTAATTTGAAACTTGCTACTATTCTATGAATGATGTTCAGTTCAAAATTTCTTTTTGTGTTAATCACTGATGTGAATTCTGTATGATGAGAAATGAGTAACAATTACCAGCTGAATTTTCTACATAGTAGATATCTGTTGTTTATTGCTGTGGTGTCATTGTTTTAATCAGTGATTTTTTCTTTTAAAAATTTCATATTATTTTTAAATCAAAAAAGTGCTAATGATATTGTGAATATTAAAACAAACAAACAAAAAACAACAAATTTGTATCCTGTATTTTTGTTATGAATGGTCTTGTGAATTAACAGAAAAAATAGAAAATAAAACCTGTATATTCTTAGGTTTCCTTGAATAATGCGCTAGTTACTATATATTTGAATTTTAATTGTTTGATAGATGCACCGTCTCAAATTGGTTTATTTTAAACAAAATCAAACTAAATAAGAGATTCTAAAATGTGATTTTCATGCAGATCCTAAAATAATTAAAGACATTGTCATTGCCAAATATACCATTGCCAATGTCATTGTCAATAATATATTTGGCAATGACAACGTCTTTAATTATTTTATGAAAAATGCCAAAGATATCATACCACAACACCTATACAGATCCTAAAACCTGAATGTGATGTGCTAGAAAATTACCGTAGTTCAATATTTTTTTGACTGCTTTCTACAACTATGATATTGAATATACATTTTTTCATAATGAACTCTTTCTTCAACATTTGGTCTTAAATTAATATCATGTGCACTTTTCGGCAAAATGTGAGTAATTGTGAGTAAAATTGTGACAATTTTAAAATATAATGTACAATGTTTTCTCTAAAACGGGCCCAAATTTTTTCTTTACATATTTTTTCTCAAATCAATGTTTGCTTAATAATATGGCTTATGTCCCATTTACATTAACTCCTTTGAAACTTTCAAAGTTCAAATTATTTTCAACATCAACACAACATTACTACACTATTAATGATAGAGATTTGTATCTTAATGCAATCTATTCCTCAATGTTGTCATTAAATCCTTTCATGTACACTATTTTAAACTATTAGTAACATCTCTCAAAATTTTTAGTTGTTTTAGAAACACCACAACACTAAGAATTTATTTGAAACTTAGCATAGCGTAACACAATAATCATAAGACTTTTACCTCCAGAACCCAAGCACTTGAGTTCAAATCCCTGCCCAGGCCAATCTTTTTTTCTTTAAACATTTTGTAAGAATAGAACTCTGACTACGGAACCCAATATCAGAAAGTCATTCAATTCAAGTCAATCAATTCAAAAAGTCATTCATATCAACTTTCATTTTCAATTGTGAATTTTCAAAAAATTAAAGGTAGATTTTTTTTGGGGGGGGTTCATTTGCTCTTTGTTTGATTAGGTATTTTGTCAAGTCATGACAGAAGTGTTAGTATAATAAAATTTGCAATATCATAATATTATGTAACCATTATTAATGATTCAAGAAAGCCGTTGTAGCACCACTAGTTTTCCTTTTCTTTATGTTACTGTATTACATAAGTTTCCGTATGCTGTTATGCGATTCATCAGTCAAATTTCTATTCAAATTTTGAATGTTTGTTTGTATCTTGTTGCCTGTATTAAAAAAGAATATTCAAATTATTTTTAATGCATTGTCACTTATTTAAATATTAGTTGTTTAATCCAAAATACATTAAACACATGCCAACATACTACTAAAAAGTAATATTTCAACATAATGAAAACCGTAAGAAAAATGAAGGAATTTATTATTGTTGAAACTGCATTGCTAGATACTGTAAAACACTTTCTGCGTTTTCTTCCATCCTAATTTTTGTGTTATTTTTATGATGCGTCCAGGAAAATGGAGGTAAACCTGTTTTGACTGGCATTCAGTTAGCTGTTCGCAAGTCAACTGATGACCATTGCTTTCTGGATTGGAACTGGCCATTGATACGAAAAATTAGTTTTTGGACTGTTATATCATTACTAATGGCATGTATGTGTGTAGTAGTAGGTATGGTTGCTCAATTACCATCTCGCTGTGATCCTCCTCATGCTTGGTGGCAAGGTACTCTCTTCTATGAAATCTTCCCAGCCTCATTTCAGGTGAGTCTATAATTATAATTCACAATAGTTGGGGATTCTAAACTTAAAGAAATAAAATAACATAACAAAATCCTCTTGAGTAAAAATGTTTTTACTGAAATAAACAAATACAATTCGCATTTTGAAATTAGCATAATTACAGTATGGGCCTTATTAATACTTGTCCATATTTTATGACCGATATTAATAAAATATTATATATTTCTTTCACTATTCTTTCACATTACACACAGTTTTTAACTGATTTTGACATAATTAAATATATACAATTTTGTATCTTTTAGCAATAACATAGGTGGCTTCACTGCATATTATCAGTAATGGTGGCTTATTTTTGCCTGATTCACAATTTCTTAACTTTTTCCCTTTGCTTAACAAATCATATATTTGAGTGGGTGAAAACCAGAATGGTGTAAGTGACATTTAATACATTCAGAAAATTATAGAGAGAGTTTAAGTCAATATTACTTTAAAGTCATGGTGCTTAGTTTCATTAAAACCACAAAAATACATTGCCACTGAAATAAAACCTAAAATATAAAAATGTTTCTTTCTTTACATCTTCCCTCTTTTTTTTACTTGAATAACAAACTTATACCATCTACTTTAAAAGTTGTTTGTTTCCATTAAAATAATCTCTTAAATTCATTTCTGCTTTGAAAATTGTAGACGCTGGTTAACTTTCTATTGACAGGGTTGTCACTTGATTTACATGCAGAGAATCTGAGAAATTTCTTTGAAATACCAATTTATCAGATTGTTTATTTTGAATGGCTTAAAATCCCCATCATTTGTAAAATGATAAGTTAAAAGATTCTCCAAATTAGATATCAAACAATTTAAAATGAGATTAGTGATTCTTATTAAGTAAGAGAATAAAGAGAAAAGTATTTAGAACAATGTAGAGAAAATAATGTCAAATATAGCATTGTTTGATTATCATTCCTAGAATGATATATGTAGAATGGAAGCCGCCAGTGTGTGAATTCTCTCCATTAAATTATAACCAAATCTGCGGCCTTTCTTGGTTATAAAGGTAATTTTTGTATCATTCTAGAATAAAATGTGGAAATACAGTATGTTTGTCATCTTTAATATGTTCATAAATTTTAAACAGTCGTTTCCATTATTTTGTTACTTATTGTTTCCACCAGACTTTCTTTTATTTATTTTTTCCCCTTCCATTATGTCTTCCTTTTAATATGCCATTAGAAATTAGTAACAATAGTTTCATTTACAGAAATACTATAATGATATTAATTATTTTCAGGATAAAAATTCTGATGGCATTGGAGACTTAATTGGCCTATCAAGTCGAGCAAATTATTTGGAAGCACTGGGTGTAAAAGCTGTTCGTCTGAACTCTATCTTTGCATCTGATGATTATCCTGATCATTTTGACCATGTTAAAAATTTGATGAAAGTGGATCATCATTTGGGGACTATAAAAGACTTTCAAAAAATGGTGGGAATTCTTCATGATCGGAATATTTCTGTTATTCTTGATCTTCCATTGAAGCTCTTTAAAGAACAATTAGGAAATGAAGAACTTGTTATATCCCTCCCTCGGAGAGACAATAGAGTTTTAAATGATGAAGATTTCAAAGAGAATCCAGAGAATAAGGATAAATTAAATACATATCCAACTCTGGCTTCTGATTCAGTAACAGAATCTCCATATAGAGAAGAAAGGGTTCCTCCAAACATGATATCGGAAGCTTTACAGTTCTGGTTAAATATGGAGGTTGATGGATTTTATCTGAAAGATTTGGAACATATAACATTTCATTCTAGTTTTGCTCCTTATGTTCGTGAATGGAGAAAAATTATTGACAACTATAGCCAAGGAATGCAGAGTCAAAAAATTCTGATGTGTAACATAAATGTTTTAAATTCACTTAATGTAGAAGATGATCTAGAGAAGATAAATGTAGTTTTAAATCACATGGATTTAGTGGATGTCCACTTGGATTTGTATAGCAATGGAACCGAAGGAATAAAACGATCTGTTAATAACTTACTAAAAGGCTTATTGTATGAGAAGCCTGGGTATCCTTGGATACACTGGAATGTTGGCAGTGTGGAAACTCATCGTCTTGCTGCAGTAAGTGGCTCTGCTGAGGGCAATTTAGCTGCAGTGCTCTTTAATATGATGCTTCCAGGAACTCCATCTATTTTTTATGGAGATGAAATTGGGCTTCAAGATTATTTTGTTCCTGATGGAGAGGTAAGTTTTCAAAAGTGTTTAATCTTTAATTCATTTACGAAGAAATAAATTCATTCATATATTATGTATGTAATTTCTCTTATCTAGACTATCTTACTCTAGTTAATTGTCTTGTCCTGATCTCATTAACAAAAATTTAAAGAATTATGTGGTAAAAATAATCTCCCCCTAATTATCCCTAAAGCTCAAGTCAGTCATACTTGAAACATGCCAATTTGTACACACTATAGTCAATATGTAAAGTCAGAGAATCCCAAATGAGAAACCCTTGAGAAGGATAATCATTATCATCATGATGATGACAATGATCATGGTTAAAAAATAACAATAGCAACAATTTAAGATATTTTATTCCCTAATAATATATTGTTCTTCTGTATTTTACAGCATCGTGAAATTCACCACCCTTCGCAATTGGCACCAATGCATTGGAATTCAAATGAACATGGTTTTGGTTTTACATCCACTGGAATTTTTCCTTGGATAAATCCCTCTCAGTCACTTGGATCAGTTGTAGGGAGCCGTAAGGACATTATCCGCAACGTAGCCATGTTCAGAGAGAGCTCTCCATCTATTTATATGAATGGTATTGTGAAAGAGGGTATGAAGACCCCAAATTGTGAAATCAGGTGAGGTCATATCTAATTGCATATTTATTTACCCAGTGATTGACACGATCCAAAGCTCAGGTCGTACTGCAGCCAACTACTGTGTGAATGCTTGAGATTTTGGTATGGGCATGTTAAATTTCCTTACTGTGGTACAATGGGAAGAGCCCCTAAATCTGCTATTACCATACTGATCTCTTTGAAACTCCTTAGTTCTGCAACGACTTTGTAAGGATTCTGTAAAAAATCTCATTTTTGAAAGTAAAACAGATTTTTAAATTTAGTCATTGAAGAATAATTTGATTTTCAATTAGCTGTGAAGTAGCAACCTTGGAAATTTATCAGTTATTTATAATGTAAGTTCCTATAAATTGGATATGGTAAGGGAAAATCAAAGATTGAAAGTAAGTTCAGAAACTGGATGTTCATTCTTTAGGTTCTTTATTTATAAAATCAAGGATTGAGTTAGGTCCTGAGTAAAGAAAGGTTTTCTGAAGTATTTGGAAGATGAAAAATCTTGAAAAGTGCTCTTGTCTATCAATTGATGAATATGCAGTTGCTCAGTGAAAAGGGGAAACTGACCATGTTGTATTGTAATCCATTGCTGTATTACATGAATCTTTTCATTATAATGAATTCAATGATAATTGCAAATTCCATTGCCCATTTGTTTGATATCATGAAGTGTGGGCATTTGTCACATCTGTTCTAACACGTTGGTATTGATAAATCAATATTTAAAGGCTTCCTACTGACTCTTAATGCTTTGAATTGAAATTTAAAATGCTTCTCAAGTTTTGTGTTTTTCTCATTTGAAATGTATGATTTGAACATAGATTTCTCTGCTGAAATATTACAAAGTTTGATACTTATATCTGAAATGAAAATTTCACAACATTCATTATTCTTCTTTAGGATTCAATAATTATGTGCATATAATACACCAAATAAAATTGAGATGGTGAGTGTATCATCTAGTTAAGTCCATTGCTACTCAAAATTCTTTTTAATAGAATTAAATATTAGCTATGAGAAAATATATTTATTATAATTATTATTATTATTATTATTATTATTATCATCGTTATTATTATTATTATTATTATTATTATCACAAGTATTTTTTTATTATTCTTATTAAGTATTTTATTTTAATTATTATATACTTAGCTCACTCACAAAGAAAGAACTCCTTTTTTGTGCCACACTTTTTAAAAAATTTATTAGCGTCTCAAACTTCACGATGGGCCGTGATTTTAGATTTCTTTATGAACTGAAAAGTGGTAATTTTAAATGTAAGGAATTTGAAAATGTAAGATATGAAAAGGTGAGAGAAACACAAACCAAAACATTCTCATTATTTTATTTAATCAATTTTATGACGTGACCCCTGTCCCCTTTCACTGCATATTTTCTTAACTTCTTACTAAAGAAATCAAGTTTGATATAATGTTACATGTTATATTTTTAAATTTGAAAAATCAAAATAGAGCACTACTAACCTAATATCACCGAAGCAATTTTACTGTGTTCACACCATAAAACATTTCTCAATCGAGATATGTTTTGTTGTAGTTTTGAAGAAAGAATCGTCTTTTTTGTGTTCAGACGAAATTACTCTTGCACTGTTTCAAGCAACACATCGTGATTGAAGTTAAATTTTAATTACAATGTAATTTTTAATTTTCAAAATTACTTTGAAATGTTGTTAATATTGACTGAGGGAAATGGTAAAGGATATATTATTACCGTTTTTACTAGTTATGTGTGCTTTACTGTTCTCAGCCTTTGTTTGTAATGCTGTTTTTGACTTAATTTTGAAATTGACGTACAGTTTTTTTAAATACAATACTACTTTATAAAAAGAAACTCCTTTAAATGCTATTAATTTAGTTTATTTTTAGTTTATAAATAAACATATTAATTAATTAACTAAACTATTGACCTGTATTATAAATTAACATCCTAAAACTATAATAATCTTGTGTATTTTGCTCTTAAATTGTTAGTAGTTGAATGTGTTTATCTTGTTGGCACAGAGTTTTGGATTCTGATATTGTGGTTATTCAGCGTTGGTACCCACGCCGACATTCGTATGTTATGGTTACAAACCTGGGAGGACATACTCGCACTCGCGATCTATCATCATGGTTGTATGGAGGTGAGATTGTTGTTGATCAACGTAGTCGCACTGGACAATATGTGAAGTTTGATTCACTTACACTTAATGCCCAAGAATCTCTTATTGTTAAGTTGGACAAATGAATTGCTTTAATATCTGTATGTATGTATATATGTATGTGTGTGTTTTGTTTATATATGAAAATAATGTGCCATATATAATGAATTGTCATAAGTTGTTCAATGTATTTGATAATTTTTGAGAGCATGTTTATGTATGCTTTATACAAAATATATATATGTATGTTGTCATCCAGCTATTTTCCATCACTGGAAGTTTGAAAATTGTCATGTGTGCAATTAATATTATATAAATCATGCAGAAGTGATTACAGTTACTGGGATCTCCTGTGTTTGATTGTCTTTACAAGAAATAGAGGTGTTTTGTGCCATCAATTAAATTAAAAGTTAAGTATTTTTTCACTTCAAAATTTGTGTACAAAATGTTTTGAATTTTGAGCACCAGAACACGATAGCACAAAGAAAGTAAATAATATCATTAAAATATAAAGTCGTAACATTTGTCAAACATTCAGTCGTTTTTGAATCAAATATCACTCCATTCAAGATAATGGAAGAAACAGTGGTCTCAAGATAGTATTTTCTTCCTCAATATAATGTATAATATGAGAGCACAAAATTTTCAGAGAAACTATTAATTTATGTTACTTTACTGCAGCTCTTTGGAACTTGCTCAGGTGTTGAGTGTGTGCAAATGAGTGTTGCTGTTCAATTGTGATGAAAATGTTAGTATGTATATTAAATTGAAGTATCATATAATTGTTCCAATTTTCTTATTTAATAAAATCTTGTTGAGTTCGATTGCTTTTTTTCATGAAAGTATTACTTCTATTCTTTAATTGGTTGATATGGAATTATTAAAAATGTTCATTAATTTTAATTATATTATTTTATTCGAAACAACATACTTCATTTTTATTTGTCTTTCTTTTCTCCCACATCATTTACTAGAATGAAGATGGATAAGAGAACAAATGAATTTTATTTGCATTATTAACTGCTTTGAAAATTTTGAAGCTGCTTAAAATTTTGTTTGATGTTTAAGGAGTTAAACAGATAATACTAAAACAGTTATGCTTTCTATTATTATCATTTTTACTGGTTGAGTAGTTGTACTTTTCTCTGCACTGTTTTGAATGATATTGATAAGTCTTCATGTTTTCTGTAATACAACCTTCTAACATAATCATTACAACCAAGTGTCTCAAAACTGATTAAATTCCCATTCTGCACTAATAATTATTTGTGTGAAAACAATGGAATTTTTAAAACAAGGAAACTTTTCTGTTTTTTTATCTGATGGAACATTTTGATGGATGACTATACACCGCACATTTGTTGTTCATTCATTTCAGTTGTACACAAAAGGATTCATATTAATTAAATCAAACTCCTCTTATTTTATTTCAATTTAAAATCAGTGTATTCTCCATTGACGGTTATCACTCAAATACACAGAATTTGTAGGGGAACTTGTATGCAAGGTTCAAGATGAATTGTATTTACATTTACCCTAGTGCTTTTCCTGCCATTCTTTTTTTTTCTTTCTTTCTTTCACATGAAAGTGGGAGACAAAAACATTCTTTTGTATTTTAATTTACCATTATTTCTCTGAATTCTTTACTAAAAGCTGAATTCTTTATAAGATAAGACTGATGGCATATGTACAGAAACAACCTCTAGATCTGTAATTGTATGTTTGAACTTGAACGTTAGGATTAATACTAGCATGTTTTCCTGAGTCAACTTGGTGTTTCTATTGATGTCTTTCATTATTATAGATAATTGTATGTCAAATAACAGAGCAGTGATTTTGAAGTTCACGAATAAAATAATTAAATGCCTCGTTAAACAGTATTTTTAAGGAGCTGTGAAATAATTTTGCATGTTAATTTGTTTACTGTTTTGCTACAGTTGTAAAAGCTTATTGTGCAAACTCTTGGATAAATGAAAAGCATTTTACTAAAGACTGGAAACTAAAGAAATTGTGCATAGATTGTAATAATGTGGGGAGAAAGAAAGCATGTTCGTGATGACAAAAAGTTAAATTTTTTAACATATATTGTTTATTCATTACTTATGAATGTTGATAGGCTTGATAGCGTAACAAAACTATGCTTGTTTTCATGAAGTTTAAGGTAGAATTTATTGTCACTTGGTTTTTTAAGCTGATGATCTTGAAGATTGACCATGAGGATGTGTATTTGTTTAAAATTAATAAATTTTATCTTGTTATGATTTTAGAGAATGTGGCCAAAGTTATTATTTGTCAGGTTAACGAATTATGACTTAAAAACAGTTTTGAACTGAAAGTTTATAAATATTGTCTTAAATTTTTCTTTAATATTTGTTTTTTGTTTATTATTTATTAATAACATATATTATATTTCAATATCAAGCTGATTAATTGTTTGAAGTATCTACAATGAAAAGTGTTTTCTTGTATCAATTTCACCTGAGCATACTATTAAATTTCAAAAAGTCATAGCTGGATGGCATAGTCTTGTGAGTATTCTAATTTATTTTGAAAATTTATCAAAATTTTTTCAAATATTATATTTAAAGTACACTTAATTTCCAGTTATATAAGTAGATTTTTAAAGATTTGATGAAGAAATACAAACTTCTGAAGCAAAGTGATAATACGATTTATTTAAAACAGGGTTTGCTGAAGTAATCCATTACAATAGACTGATACGATCGGCTGATGTTATTTTTGGTGGTGTCAGTTCACCTACCAAATATTTCTAATAACCTAAATCATATGTTTTTAAATGATAAGCATGAGATCACAAAGAAATGCAGTGAGAATCCATTGGAATAGTTAGTTTTTATTTAATTTAAGAATTACATAATTTTTAAATTGTTCATTCCCTTTTATGACTAGCTTTAATTATTTTGATTCTAATGTGATACTGGTTTTAGATTTTTTATATACATTTTAGGCTTTCAGAACAAGTGAAATAGGTTTTATAAGTTTTTAATAATGAAATAAGGTAAGGGTATAATTTCATGATTTGGATTATCACAGTCCAATTCATTGAAATGTTGCCTATATATTGATGATTGTTTCATAGAATTACTAACAAATTTGCTAGTTACAGACTATATTCCTCTAAAAGAAAATTATTTACTTAAAATGCACAATACAAAACCCAAATCACAAAACAATACAACAAATGCAAAAAAATATACAGATGAGAAGACAACATTGTAGGAAGACTATCACTTTATCTAATTGTGACTCTTCCAAACATATAATAAACTTGCTAGCATTGTATTTCTGTCTCCTCAGAACTGTCTATCATTATAGTGACTTCCACTTACAAGATAAAAATTTTACAGGTTACAAGTAAAAATTGCCAAAACAGAGTAACAATACATTGTGAGAACATTAATAAAACTGAATTCAAAATAATGAAAGAAAAAACACATAGAGAATATTTATTTTATTTTCGTACCTGATAATAAGATCATAAAAGATTCTGAAACATTGTGTATGATGATTAGTGTACAATAAATGACGATACTGAGTTATGCTCTGATTACTATGGAACCACAAGTATAAGAGGATATAATGATTACCCTAATTCTATTTAATTTTATTAATACATATTGTTTAATTGTTTAGTGGTGGTAATATTTGATTACTATCTTTTGTTAAGAAAGTTTGTTTAATCCTCACACTTGTTTTTTAAGTTTATGTTTCATACATATCTAAGAAAGGATGCACTGTTGAAAGAAATTATTGATATAAAACATTGTTTCTTTTGTGTATAACCTCTTAGAAAAATTGCTCATTAGATTGAATATAGGAACAAAATTTGTATACCCTTCAAGCATTCTTTTGAAGTTGCAAACTTCACTCATATAACCCTCAGCCAATAACTCTTTCCTGTTAATACCTCTCACTGATATTGGTATTTAGTTAAGACCACAGTTGTAATCTGCTTAAATGCAGTGTCAGGAAGCGAGGTTAAAAGATTTGTTTATCATACTAGTTTTTATGTAGTTTACTTGCATTTTGTGTTGCTGAAGGCCTGTTCGACCCATGTTATAACATGGTTGGATGTTGTAAAATAAAATTAGTGTTTTCACTCATTTTAATTTAAATTAGGTACACAACATTATCATTACACAAGTAATTGCATGTAAACAACTTAAAGATAACAATTAGACAAGAATATGAACAAAAATTTTGAAAAGCATCGTACATTAGATGTATGTTGTTTTTTTGTACTAATATCTTTATTTTTTATTTTTTTACAATTATTAAAAAAGTTTTCAGAAACAAAATCACACATTCTAATTGTATAAAGTTTCAATTTTCACAACATTTGTTCTATTTCGTGTGAATGTTGAGAAATTCAAAAAAAAAGAAGTGAATTTGTGATTTATGATTAGTTTTTTTGCAGCTTTATATCACAATAATCAACTTCATTAATACATTTTTTTAATCAATCAGATAGTGATTATACCAATCAGTTGCTAGTTTGGCCATCAATCCCCAATCCATCCTTTGATCATCATTGACCTCATTGAAAATTTTATCAAAACCAGACGATCAATACAGACTGTTGAGAACCTCTGGTCTATACAATCAGATTTGTATAGATGTGATTTATTATTCTTTGCTTATTGATTTCCTTCTCTATTTCTTTGTCTATATTGTAATCTAGTTTCATCCCTTCTATCAGACATCCATTTTAAATACATTTCTCTTTTTGCATTATCTTTTTCTTTTTTTTCTGAATCTATCCCAACAATTAAAAAAAAATGTTTTTAATGACTAATGCCTAATTCCCTCCTCAGTAGCTTTATAGATGCACCCATATGTCAATACTGAAGATTAAACTAACATTTCTCCTGAACAATAATATTATCCTCTCAATTGATGGAAAATGTATTTCTTTTAAGTTTATTTCGTAAGAAATTTTCTTATGTGCAGTTCTAGCGATTGTGGGGTTTTGAAATAGTCTTGTATGTAACTTGTTTAATGCAGAATGGCTTATCTAGAGATTTCGGGTGGACACAAAGAAAGATGAATATAAACGAGATAAAAGATGAATGTATGTTACATAATGTGTTGTTGCATTTTAACTATATTTTTGAGTTTAACTATTTTATATATTACAATTATTGTGTATTGATAATTTAATATGTAACCTCATATTTTGTTATTTATTTAATAATTTTTTAACATTACATTATGTAGAACTTGAATAGCATTTTTAAAAATTCAACATCAACTGTTTCTCAAAACAAATTTTTTATGTTGTTTTACTTTTCTCACCCTCAGTATTTTCACTTTGCTTCTGAAGACTGTGAATTATTTTGTGACATTTTTTCGTATACATAGAACTTTTGATATTCTACATTTTTAATAGGTTTGAGAGAGGTTAGACATTGCACGTAGTTTTGAGGACAAATGCTATTACTAAAATGTCTATTTTTTTATAAATGTTCAGCATTACTTGAACATTAATGTGAAATGGACTGAACTAGTCTGTTCATAAACTGACAGTTTTATTGTTCTATATTATCTTGTGAAGTATAATCAGACTAGTATATAAGAATTTCACATTTTGCATGTCTATGAAAATTTGGGAAATCTTCACATACTTCATAAACTAGAGAGATCACATGTTATGTGCATAATTATAGGAATTCAATGAAAACTTGGTTGACCTTTTATTTAAACAAATTAAATTAACCTTTTTATATTGTAATTAGATGAGAAACCTTGGATTTGTTTATAATCTGTAGTTCCATGTACTGAGACCCATGTTCGATCAATTTTTATTATTTTGTCAATTTGTAAACTAGGTTTTTAACTTTTGTTGAGTTGTTTTTATACCTCCTGAAAAGCAAAAAGTGAAATTGTTACATTTTATTTTGTTAAAAGAACGAACCATTTTCTCATCGTTGTAACTCATTCTGATATTAATTCTTCAAGCTGGAAATTCACTGTATTCATCTTTTAAGTTCAAAAAATTATTGATTTAAAAACATCTCTGAAATATAATAATTAGAATGAATATCCAGAATTACTTATTGAAACTCTTAATGAACATTTAAAAATTAAGGAAATTCAGAAGAAAGGAACTGACTCTTTAAACTAACTTTTGAAAAGTTGAATTCTTTGAAAGAGAGGGGTAAAATGTAATTTTTGAGGAAATTTGTAGGGATGGCATACTTAATGTGAAAAATATTTGAAAATTTTTAATGCAATACTAATCATTTGACAAAAAAGTTTTGCATTATTTTCTTGCATGTGTAAATTTTGTCTTCATTTAGCTTTATAGTGTTAAATAGATCTTCCTTGTACTGTATAAATGTGTATATTTTGAAACTCAAATAGCATGGCAGGTGTGAAGACATTTTAATATTGTATTAAGGCATTTCATAACAAAGAACTACTTGAACAATTCTTCTTCTTGAACATCTGTATAAATAAATAAGATAGATACTGTTGTAGACTAATATACAATTTTCTTGTAGCAAGCATATTCAGTAAAAATTTATTTTAAGACTATTTATAAATAATTCTAAAATATTCTTATTTAAAAGGTAGGTTTTATTGGTTTGAAAACTTTGCAAATTGATAGTTTCTATCATGTGGATTACAAAAATTTAGAATACAAATTTTAGAAGTCTCGTCCTTTGCTTAGAGTGTATAATATGTTACCAAAAAGATAGAGACACAGAAAACAAACTTTCAATGTTCTAAGAAATGTGTGAAACCATTCATAACACCTTAAAAAATAAAAGAAACAAGAAACTTGAATAAAAATATACAAAACTATGGCAATTTCCATGCTTGCAAAAGGTGAGTACTCACAAAGAGAACAGTGGAAAGGATGCAGGCTTGTGAAATGAGATTTTTGTGCAAAAATAGAGGGTGTTTATGAGAGGGAAGTGTTAGAAATGGAAATATAAGAAAATAATTAAAATTGAAACCAATAAACACTAGGATACAAGAATATAGAGGCAAATGGTTACAGCGTATTGGGAGAATGGAAGATACCAAACTTGCAAAAGCATCTATCTACAATG